ACTCATTCAACTGCACTCAACAATGCTTGCAATAGTGTCAATGATATCCACTCCCTCTAGCAGCCTTCTATTACACATACATAAGTGGCATCGCAATCGCAAAGCAGATTCGTTGCTTAATTTGAATGCGTGCAGCCTAAATGTGCATTTTGTATGTAAAGGGTAATTGTACTTGCCACCATCTGAGTGCAATGTTTGTTTGTGTCATCCCTCTATACATTTGTCTCTTCCAAGCCTTTGTTTCTGCATGGTTAGTTGAGTTTTAAATTTACGTGCAACATTTTTGTTTGTGTGCTTGAGTGGCAACAGTTGCATACATACATATGTAGATGGTGCCGTGGTACATGCCCTTAATACAACATTACATTACCGCCTAAAAGGTAGGTATTTAGCACAACATAGTTTTCTCTTTTGATTTCATTGCTGCATTGCATGAATTTTTGGCATTAGTTATGCGAAATGTAGGGAATGGCGCTTTAAGCGGCTTGGAAATAGGAAAATTTTCACTGCTTTCAGGTGTTTTTAATTCGAGGAAGATGACAAGGCACAAACTCCGGCCGGAAAACTTTTACACAGGGCAATAGATTCACATCAGTGAAAGGAATAAACTCATCTCAGGGTTTCATGCAATTATTTCTGAGGAGTTATACCATGAGATAGACTCGCAAAGAAAGCAAGACGACACCTACACATAAAATATTATTGAGACCTTAAAATTTACTTCTTAGAGCGTACTTTGGGCCACTATCACAGACTTCTCCTACCTCCTGAAGCATAAATGTGTGTTGCTGAGATGAGAAGTCTAATCGTTGTTTATACTCTCACCTTTACATTAAAGTCGATTTACAGCTGGGAATATGTTAATATCGCATACTTGCAGTGAGGCTAGGTTAGGGTAGAGGGTTGGCGAAAAACTTTTACGCCAAGGTAGCCGATAAGTGCCACTTTGATACCATATACCTCGAATGAATATAACAATCAACCAGCGTGGTTGATAAAGTTGAGTATATTGTGGAGGCCTAGCGATGTATACTCATACGCTCCTAGTAAAGCATTCCTACTCTTTAATATATATTATAATATAATATTATTAAAGCTAGATATTTGCAAAGAAAGTTGGTTCGATCTTTTGCATTAGTTGAGTTCTTATAGTGCAATTCTGACTAGGGTAGTAAAAAGTCTTTCGTAAGGCAAATGAAAGACAGGTGACAAGATATTCGCAAGAATTTGGTTATTCTAGCACAAAAGTCTTAGAAAAAATCTCTCCACTCCCCACGCTACTATCACTTTATTACAAACTTATTTTTTTTTCTTTGTGGAATATATTTTTTATTTTTTAGTGCAGTTTTGTTGAAATTTTTAGATTTCATTGTTTATTTTATTTATTTTTTCTTTTTTTAAATTTAATTTTTTTTATTAAATTTTATTTAAATGTTTAGATTTCGTTTATTTTATTTATTTTTTCCGTTTTGTTTTAATTTGTTTATCTTTTGTTTATTTAATTTTCTTTTAATTTTGTAGATTTTATTGTTTTGCAAAGATAAATAAATTTTTATATATCATTTAATTTTTACGATCTTATTTTCTTACCACATATTTACAAGTTTTAACAATGTAATTTTTTGTTATTTAATTTTAGTTATTTTCTTATAAGAATATAAATTATTCTTTAACAAATACTGAACAAATTCAAGTTTCAGACTTTGTGCAATATTAAAAAAAAAAATCCAAAAACTTCGTAAAAATTTCGATTTTTTAATTAGCTTCCTTAGAACGCTTTTAAGTATGTAGTTTTATAGCCCACTCAATAGATAAAGTGCAAGTTTCAAGTAGCTGGGGCTTCCCATTGATAGTAAACAATGTCGATAAAAATATCGATAACAAAATCGATAAATAATCGATAACAAAAATCGATAAGAAAATCGATAAAAACATCCATAAGAAAATCGATAAAAATATCGATAACAAAATCGATAGAAATATCGATAACAAAATCGATAAATAATTGATAACAATATCGACAACAAAACCGATAAAAATGTCGATTATTATACCGATAAATCCCGAGAATCCCGAAAATCTCTAAAATCCCAAAATAGTTCCCAGATTAAGCATCTGTGTCTCTATCTATATCCTTTTCTCTATAATTACCTTTATTTTAATCTTTATTCCTCTTTTTTTTCTTTATATTTATCTTTGTTTTTACTTTTATGTTTATCATTTTCTTCATCTACATATTCCCCTTCACCTAAGCCCATATATAAGTAAAGTGCTTAAATTTACCTTGGTCTTCATTTTTGCCTGTATCTTTACGGATCGTAGTTTTTATTTTTATTTTTACCTTTGCCTTTATCCTTTTCTTTATCTATGTACGTGCTCACCTTAACTTTCATTCTTGTATTGGTCTTTTTCTAAGTGTTATTCTTTAAGCTTTTATTAGCTAGTTTTTGTTAAATTAATAACATACATTTAAGAAGCACTTGTTTCCGTCCCAACCATTTCCGTTGCACCATTTCCGTTGAATTTGCCAATTTACTTCAAACCAACCAACCGCCGCTAAAGAAGTTTCACTTCAAAAACATTTTTTGTTGGGAATTGCCTTGAAAAAATACTTTAGACTCAGAGGTATACGGTGCATTTTTTTTCTGGTACGGTTTAAGTACTACATACATGCATAGGTATGTTTATATTGCGTTGCTACTAAACGGAAATTGCCTTCTGTTGCCGGTTGTGAAATGTTGCAGTCACTTCCGTGTAACAAACGTACAATATTGTCTGTGGTATACATGCATACATGCATACATAGTATAAGCCCCATTTCGCTTTTGCTACTTTTCACATTTGATGTTCTGAAAAAAAATTTTTATTCTGCAGCCTTCTGTGTGTACCTCTGTGCATCTTACGCACGGCTTTAAGTATTAAAGTTGAACCTCCGTTTAAGTTATTACAAGGCTAAAATAATTTGAAATATTGTACTAAATTAAAATGTTTACTTTAAGCAAAAATTTCGAATTCACAACCTTGCTAAAATTCGCCTATTCACACACACATGTACATATCTAACTATGTAGAAGCAATGATATTTCTACGTATTTTAAGAAGCCTAGGGCTTCCTATTTGAAATTTAAGAAAAAAACCTGTAGGCGGTTGGGTAAATATTTGTTTATCTTATTGATAAAATTCCAAATCAACACACAAATATGCATACATACATACATATATACTATACATTTGCCGATAAGACATCCCATTTGTTTGTGTTGCTTCTTAAATTATAGTGTCAAAGACAGACGTTAGTTGGTTCGATTTTGTTATTGCTGCTTTAGTCGAATCTTCACTGCACGTTTTCCCTTTAAAGCTTAGCAATTAAAGTTTATTTTCCATTTGGGATTTGCAGCAGAGATTGAACATTTTGCGAGTTGTTTGCAAATGTATTTTATATCCTGTTGTCAGTGAAATTACAAGACAGCTGGAAAATTGGCAAAAATTTTGCAATGCATTTTCTGACAATAAAACAAATAAAGCTGCTTACTTTCGCATTAAGGCAATGAAATGAAATTTGTTTGGATGGTGTTGTGAATCTTTCTCTACTTACAGGTAGAAAGAAATATATGAAAGAAGTAGGATGTGAGACATGTTTACCAGTAATAGGTAAGCTTTGGTTAGCGCATAGACCCTTAGGCTAGAAATCAATATAGGAGGTGTGACGGTAGCCACAGATGTTGATGTAGGAGGATGAGATGTTCGTCTCAGTTGTCTTTCCTTCAACGATTGGTGAAGTCCGTCCAGGTTCCACTTGTTAGTAACAAAAAGTAGACGACGAAGTACTTGGTCATTGTATTAGACACCAAACTGAGCTGGAAGACAAATATAGCTTCATAAACACGGCCAGTATTAGATCAATCTCTGCAATTAGACTTGAAAAGTCAGGCTTAAAGTGGTCGAAGCAATACTAGCATATTGACTTTTAGAACTAATGGTTCAACTACCCACCGACGTAAAATCGGAGACCGTGTCAACTTACACTATCCATCTTAAGGGATTTCGTGACTGTCATAGATCAGACTCTGACGAAAATGGAGTACCGATCACGACAGAAGAAATTGTAGTTGTGGGAATGGAAGGGAAGTCCTTTCCGTTATCTCCAGCTATATGTATTGGGAAAGAGGCAAAACTCGAAATCGGTGAGTTTGTTGCCACGTTTATGACCTTAAGGTTACATGCAATAAATTCAACGTTTCCCTAAAACCAACAGCATCCGTGCATGAGGGCGGTGGCGGTCAAGGCTTCTCCTTCACAACTTGCAGCCTACTTTTGCCAAAGTGACATGGACCAATCTCCATTGATGCCTGGGAATCCTGGCTTCATAGTTATCAATGACGCTTTTAACACTCCGGTCCTGGCTATTTACGCAGACGATCGAAGCCAAGCTCCCTATGTTTTGTTCCTTTTCGGTGTAAAGGTTGGGGTTTCCTCCACCGAACCCTGCCGCTTTAAAGCCACCGTCTTGCCATAAAAACTGTTGTCGAAATCTGGACAATTCGCGGACCGCTACGTCGGAGTTGATGGTTAATCTTTGGCGCATGTATTCGGCCGAGACCCAAGGCGCAATTGCGGGTCATCGAGCTCACCCTGGGCCCGCCGACAGTAAGCTCACCAGACACTATTCGCTGAGCGACGAGGCTGCTGCAGGTGGACACAAGATGCCCTCTGCTTGCCGTACAGCCGTCCAGAGCTGTCCACACAAATTGACCGTCAGGGTGTTACCTGGCCCCACCACGGGGAGTCCACTTTTAGGAAGAGGTGCTAACCACGACGTAATTGAAAACCCACAAGTCGACATTTCATGATGACACACCTTAATAAATAAAAAAAAACAGTAAACTCAAAATAAGGTAAAACTATGAAAACAAAACAAGCAAAAAATAAATCAAAAAGTTATACGACTCGCAAGCTTATAAACAATAATACTCAGCTGATTGTCAGCGCAACGATAAAAAATGCAATTTCTCAAAAAATTACCCGTGAGCTTAATGAAGCGCACCAATTGCCGCTCACACACCGCTAACATCGAAGTACAAGGACACGTATATGAAAAAGAAGAAATCGCACCTAAATACGTCAAATTGTTGCCACCATCTCGATATGGTGGCGAATATTTAGTCACATTACTCACCGGCTCCTCAATAATCGGTAATCAGGGCGCAAATTTCATTCGCCATCTGTTCGAGGTAGCCAAAGTGCCAGTGGTTTTCGAGAAAATTACCATAGGTCCCGATGACACTGCCTATCCCAAGGAGTACATGCAATCAGTGCGACGCAATCGTCATGCAATTCATGTCGATCTGCAGCACGATCCCGACCAGAAACACAAACAACTGCTGCTCAATATTGACCTGGATCTATATGTGGGTATAATACATGTAAATTCAATTGAAGGCTATAGATGCAGACATCCCAACGTGGATATAACGGTAATAATGGAGAACAATGCTGGCAACTTTTCGAAATTAGAATATGCCCCGGTGCCTGGTATGGTGGAAACATTGAAGATAATGCAGAAAAAATACATAGAACGCTACTTTAATTTCGTTTATCATTATGCCATAGAAAATAACCACAAAAAGGTCACTTTCGGCCACCAAGAGGATGAGTTTCCGCTCGGCGATGGAATGTATAACAGAGTTGCTTTGACAATGTACGAACAACTCAAGCCAAAGTTTGAATTACAGCTAAAACCGATACAAGAATTGGTGCGTGATATAGTAATGAAACCAAATGACTTCGACATCATTTGTACCACTGATCGATATGGTACTTTCGTCGCATCGATTGCCAGTGCAGTTTGCGGGGGTGCCAGTTTATTTAGCGCAACTGAGCGTGGCGATCATCATGCCGTGTTTAAGCCGCTGCAAACGCGTCTATCCGTCACCGATGCAATGACTCTCAGTCCATATGGAATAGTGCGTTCTTGCGTTGATTTGTTGCATTATCTGGGCGAGTCGGATTGTGCCAATGTTCTTTACAACGAATTGATGCAGACAATGACCTGCCGCGATATAAAAACGAGAGAATTTGGTGGTACTGATTCGGGAGAATATGTTATATGTGATATTGTCAATCGTTTGAAGTGTCGAACATATTGATGTGTCGGATTTTTTGACTTGATCTAGCGATTTCTCTTGTAGTTCAGAGATTGTAGCTATTATCGGTAATAAATAATATGATTATAATACTTTAATATATATACTTTAGAGTAATTTTTAATACCCAGAGTTCCCAAGTTTTTCGCTTAAAGGAAATTTTCTGGGTTATATCCCAGGATTAGGTTAGTTTGAGCGGCAACAAAAAAACTCTTGAGAATGTTCTCTAAAAGAACAGAATGAGAACGAAGGTATCAAGAACGTTTTCAAGTTGGATCGAATAAGAATAAAACTCTCTGAAACGTTCAGCCAGAGAACAAAATGAGTATACAAGTTTTGAGAACTTATCGTAAGGAATGAGAGGGGCCTGTTGGGATCAAAAATCAATTCATCATTAGGATGAACTGTCCATTTATGGAATAATTTTCCATTTTCTGTCCAAGAAAAGTTCGAATCTTAATTCTTTCATGGACTTTATTTGCATAATTATCTTTCAGTTTGTCTTTCATTAATTTTAATATTCAAACATTTCAAACTAATGGAACACTAAATTTTTTTCTCGCTTCGATTCTTCGTGAATAGTCCAGAGAAGATTTGTTCCCGTTTCGCTCTGTTGGAATGTTTCTCAGACTTAAGTTTCCATATGGTTCTTCGAGAGAAAGTTCCTTATACTTTTGTTCCCACTTTGTTCTTTGCCTGAACGTTCCAAAGACTTTTGCCCCCATTTTACTTCTTAGAAATGTTCCCGAAATTATTCTTCGCATTTTGTTCTCTTTGGGAAGGTTCCTCTGGGTTTTGTTCTTTTATAATTCCCGTTGAGAATGTTCTCGACATTTTTGTTCTCACTTTCGTTCTTGTGAAAATATTGCCGATAATTTTGTTCCCATTTAGGTTTAGGAGGTTTCTGAAAAAAATCGAATACATTGATGTAATACAGGGCCAAAAATGGCACGGTTTTAGCCAAGTTGGCAGCCCTGGTGACAGATTTCAAATTGTTACAGTTTATTTCCAATGAGGAGCACATATTTTTCTCACCGCCTAATGCATTTTCCAATATTAAATTAATTATTTGCCATGATTTTTGTATGTCTCCGTTTTGTGCTGAAAAAGTTATACTCAAAAAACTTACAAAAGATACCCAAGGTGACACGTCAAAAATGCTATTTTAGTTAATTTGATTGTTTATAAAAATTAAAATGACATTACTTAAATAAATAAAAAAATTTAACAAGTTACAAGAACTCCTCACATTTGTTATCAAAACGGCTCATGTCTTTTATAAAAAAAGAAAAATTACATAAATAAAACTGATTTAAAGGTGAGTGACACAAAAACACACGGTTCCGAAGATTTACCCTCGTATACTTAATTAATCAATCCCAACGATTTCATCCTGATTTCCTACCCAACTGACGCGAAGGGCGCAGTTCGCATGACGTATTCAGCTACAGAACTAAATTCATCCCACTAAATAGAAAAAAAAAAATCCGAAAAGTATTCACTACTTTTAATTTTATTAACCTATTTAATAGTACAATGTACCAAAACATAAGCTAGTAAAAAGTCTGTAAATATGCAGGTATGTATGCATATAGAAATGAAAGCCAATGCCACTACTTTCTAAATACATACATACTTTGCACCATTATGATGCAATTCTAAAATACCATCTCTTTTCAATTGCAAGTGAATATAGCCATTTTATAGTTCAGCATTGGCATTTATGTCATTCAATTCAAGCTACGACACTCGATTATTTCATTGCGACTAGTAGTATTGCGTGATTGTGGCCTTAACGACTTGCAATAAATGTCAGAAACATTGAGAGTGCAAATATTCAGCCAGTGAAATATAGCCCACAAAGCAAAATAAATAGATATAGAATAGAAAATTGTTTGAAAAATAAATTTTTTGCTTAAGAGCCATTGTATATTTAAATTTTTAGTAAATATTGATGAGGTCCTTAGCCACACTGCTCAAAAAATCTGAACCGTATTTTTGCTTAAACTGCTCAACTTTGACAAGTTTAAAGCAATTTCATTAGACGAGGTACCAACTTATTCGAAAATAAATGCTCTTTCAAGTACTACATGTTTGGAAACTTTAAAAAAAATTTTTTTAATCAGCAATGGCCAAAGTTGAAAAAATTAAAACATCCAACAAGCTAAGTCTAACAATATATTATTATTGTTTTAAAGGTTACTCGACTATAGTTACAATCTACACTAAGTTTTGCTTCGGGTGTATTTCACATGACCTTTTTTGTGTGCGCCGTGTAATTGACTTCTTAAATCTGGGCTTAGTTTTTAAACTTGATATACTCGTAGTAATTTTTTTTATTTAAATTTACAAGCTTATCTTTTTGCGCCCTTTGAATGATATGAACACTTCGGCCAATTGGTTCATTGGGAGACATATTGAGATTGTTTAAAAATGCTATCGCAGTTGTTGACATGAAAGAGAGGAAAACCCTCTTCACCGTTAGGCGTAGCCACGCACACACATAAATATGAGCTTATGCATCTGTTGGCTTTTATTTGTCATTGATTGAGTGGCACATGAAGAGGCTTTCTTTTCAGTTGTTGCTAAAGGTGCTTATGTTGAAATAGAAATGGACTGGTAAATGCATAAGTATTACCCAAGGCGATATATGGATCTATGTATGTATTATCAATACGTCCGGTAAACTCGCTCTTCGACCTAAAAAGATCAAATGTGTTTAACCCAAATTGCAGTCACCCCAACCTTAGGCTATTTAAGAAATTAAGCATATTGTAGGGTGCCGTGTTCCAAATTTTAGATGGAGAAGATAATTGTCTCCCAAGGTGTATCAGTCTAGTTAGGGGTCATTCAAATGGTACCTTACGTCACAGAGTCAGGTAGTTAGTAAGAGCTGCAAGACCCTCCGGCTAAGTTCGAAGAGCGGTTCGGAATTTCTAATGGAAGCAGTTATGAATTTCTTCAAATACTTCATTCCCCTGGACAGCAATGTGATAATCTTCCCAGCTCCTGAGTAGTTCTGCAGTGTATCCCTTAGATGTGCATTTGAGTTGCACAGTCAGCCCTTTTGTTGTCTTCAAATACTTCATGTTCAGGCACCCACCTCATTCTGAGCTCCTAGGGGGTATAAAGGAGTTTTAAAACTATCCACAAGCCTTGATGTTGTTCTAGATGAGACTAAGGTCTTTAATGCTGCCTGCCTGAATATTCGACGTAATATTTATTCTGGTCCTATTTATCCTACTACGATGACATTATAGAACACAGGTTTCGATTGGGAAGACTTGCGACTAGAATATGGTTGGGTATGGGTCCACTGGCAGACTTTTCTGGAATTTTGGTCCAAGTACGCCTGCTCCAGCACTCCTGTCGTCCATCTTTGATCCGTCGGTGTACCCTTTATCTTGGGACCCTTTATCTATCAGAGATATTATTGCTTCTCAGCGGTCCCGTTCAGGAATTCTGACTTGTTAGGGCTTGTGAAACGATAATTTCGGAAGCATGATAACTGTGAGCATGACAGCGGGATCATTCAGGAATGGCGTGAAGACCTCCAAGTGACTTTCCGAAGATCTCCACTTTTAATGCTGATTACATTGGGCAGCTACAGGTCGCTCCAGCAGGACTCCATCGGGTTTTACGACCGTATTCAACGGCCAATACATTAGTGTGAAGGTTATTGCCCAAGTTTTGCCGTGAAGTCTCTGGCAGGCGGAAAATGCCTTTGTATCCTTGTTGTTAGCATTCGAAAACTTTATATCATAGTGAAAAAATATTATTTCACTATGCTTTAGATACCTCGCCTCTTTTCCTTAACTGATTTTTTTGTCCCGGCCAAGTCAAGTTGACTAGATAAAATAGCGTCCTCATGCCAGCCAACAACGTAGATGACTAGGTCCACAGTATAACTAGGTCATCTTTATATCCATTTGCCTTGAACCTATTGCCATTTAGCTGCACCTACTGCAATTGAATGCCATTCCTTATTTGTCTAAAATCGAAAAGGAAGGAAATATTTTTTGGCTCATTGCAATTCAACTACCAACTAAAGTATCCGATAGGCGATAAGTTCCTTAATTTTATCCTACTTAAATCCACTTTTAAATTTATCTACTCACCTGCCTACACTTCTCCATGCTCTCTGAACAAAAACGCTTTCTAATTGCTGTACTCAATCTTTGCAGCACCTTGCATTTACTTATTTGCACACATCCCATTAGCCTGAAATGTCAACAGCTCTGTCGATTCGCTTGGTCAGTCGTCGTTTGCAGAGAGTTGACAAAACGAAAAACTTGGGGCTAAAATGATAAGTGACTTTTAAAAGGGCAGATATGCAGGCTGCACTTGAATAATTTCATTTTAATTTGAAAGCAATTTGAAATAAAATAGAGTTGGGAGTTGAAGGACGCCTAAGGAGTGCTAAGTAGATGTTGGAAATGCAGCTGTTGCAATGAACTTTGTGCAAAGTTGTCAATTTCTAATGAGGCACAGCCAGTTGATGCTGAATGCAGATGATAGTTTTCATTTTTGCTAGAAAACTTGACAAATTGGTGAAAGTTTGAGTCTGTCCTTAATCTGTGTGGATGAATGAACAAATAATTTTTGGCATATATGTTTCAGTTTGGAGCAACAGCATAAAGGCAATGAAAAATTAAAATTCTAAAAGAGGCAGATAAAAGCAAAAAAATATGTATGTATGAATGCGTCTATCTTCTTTTCTCTTCTTATTTGGCAATGCAACCGTTTGTCGGTTTGGGTCTAGACCAAAGGACTTCAATTATTGTCCATCTCTTTCGTAAAGTTGCGAAAGTAGTTCAGTCCGAGTGCAAACAGTTGCTGCTGTGGTAGCTCCAATTGTTCACCCGCGGCTGCCGAGTCGAAGAATATTTTCGCTGGAGCTTCGTCATTCATAGGGCCGACATATTTAAGCTATCGCAATCGTTGTATTTGTTCAAGTGTAATTATATCAATACCATTGGAAAGTACGGAGCCCGTTGCTCTCG